CGCGAGACAGTGTAAGCAGAGAATGCGGTCAGCGTTTTTTATAGTGGACTACGCGCACTGCACCAGGTCGGTTTCATTGCTTGTGGATGCTCGTTTGACTAGCGGTCGGTGCGAAATCGTCCTCAGCACTCCCCACAGGAAGCAGTCAAACAGACTCATTGCAATGTAGAAGCGGGAAAGCCGCACGTGCAAACGGAGATGGAGACATGCGTGCTCTCCATCTCACCACATCCACATCCACATCCACATCCACACTTGCCAACCACTTTGTAAGACTTCCTAGATGTTTGCAACATTTGGTGTTGCATGCCCACTTCTCACTCCTTGCAGGAGGTGGAGCTGCCGATAACTCCAGTGAACATCCTCAAAGCGCAGATGATGCAGGTTGCTCCCTCAACTCCCCAGTAGATGCCGCCATGATTCGCCTCAACCACATCTTACTTCCTCGCCTCAACTCGATCAGTGAAACGAAGCAGTCACATCGCGCAGTCAAATGAGTGGCATTGTTTGTTGAGTGAAGTGGCGTCACACAACCTTTCCGTGCCAGTCACCAACGCATTCCAAAGGCATTACAGTGGCATGCCCAAACACGCAGTCACACTGCGCCATCACGTAGTCTACGCTTCGACTGCACATCTTCGCCAGACGAATCATTCGAATCGTTTCGTCCTCCACCCTTCTTTCTACCTGTCCTTCCATCTCCCTTTCCCCTCCCTTTTTCCCTTCCTCCTTCCTTCACCTTCCCCCTACAACCCCAACCCACGTAAGCTCACACACACACACAATTACACATCCGCCACACCTCCTTTGTGGAATATGCGTGTCCGCACATCAACTACTTATGTGACTCAATAAGAAATGGGTAAGCTGAAGTGACCTCCTTCCACAATCTGAACACAAGCGCCGAATTGCGTGCACCCACCACCTAGACATGATCTCAGTCCGAATGGCGAGCAGTAGTGTGACGAGTGACTCCACTGCAACCGTATTCTTCGATAATAGCTTACACCATCTGTTGTCAGCTAAATTCCATCGTCAGTCACATCTCTTCCTTTTAAATCCATCGTTATCTCCTCCTCCTCTCCCTGCTCCGCTGGATCACAGTACAGCACAATGACAGGGTAACATGTGTGTGCCTCTTAGTCCTTTCAGACAAACTCCCTCAAGCACACCAGTCGCTTCAACGAACGTCTACATGACCGGTCAATCGCTTCAATCGCCCGTGGATGCGAGGACAAACAGAGGAGTGGGTGAGGCACTGCAGAAGGTGACACTGCAATGTGCAGAGGGGAGGGGACAGCTGCCATTTGTCAATGCACAACTAACGGAGACCCACCGGAAGGACAGTGAATCACCACCTAGCTGAGGA